TCCTAAATTTCTAGTTTTTCACAAATAGTCTTTCTTTGAATACAAGTAGTACAAATATGTAATCAGATCCCATGAATAAAATAAGACTATGTTTTGAGTTTATTTTTGTTTCTTCTCTGAGTGAGAGAGAGAGTTCTTTAGCAAGTTCATTGGTGTGAACCGGCTTATTGATTTGGTGGTCGGCCAATTCATCTTGTGTGTTCTTTGGTGGTTAGCCAACACATTTATTCCTTCTTATGTGGTTAGCCTTAGATCGTGTATATATCAAGAGCCATTCCGCATCTCTTGACGATCCTTTCAATCCATTTCAGTTCCAGAAGTGCCAATTTCCTTCTCGGTTCATATCGAACATCCAGCTAAAGTGATCCTTCAAATCTAGAGTTCTTCAAGTGGTATCACAGCCACTTTGGCTGGTTTGTTTTCATTTCATCTTTACATATTCTCATCTCTCCAAAAATTTATTTTACTATTCCTTTACTCCCTTGTGATCATCTATTTAAAAAAATGATAAAAAAGAAAGAGTAAAAGTTTTGGTTTGAATAACTTCTGAAGAGAAATACAGGGAGAGTGGTGGAAGAGAAACCCGGCTGGCTGAAGAGAAACTCAGCCTTTAGGACAGTTAAGGCGGATCCATACAAAAATCTTTTCATCTTTCTTTCTCTCTTTTACCCATAAAAGGTTGTTTTGGTTTTTGATTGCTGATTTTGACTGCCTAATATCCTCTGAACCAATATAAAGAACTCTGAATGATCACCTAAGAATCGTGAGCTAAAAACTTTGAGAGTGTGAGGATTTTTATTTGCTAACTCTTTGTCAAGTGTTTTCAGGATGTTTGGACTTCACAAGAAATAAAATCAGGCTTCAAAACTACAACAAGATGTTTATTATCCTTTTGAAACCGTGCTTGAAAAAAAAATGGATTGTTGGAGATAAGAAAAATTTTGCTTCTAATGGATTTGATTTTGTGCAGAAACAAAGAAACCAAAAGCAGAGGCAAAACAAGTTCGACAATGATGAGAAGAGGGTCGGGAATGGTGATCGTCCCTTTACCAAAGCAAAGAGAAACAACCGTGATATGTTTGATCAGAACGAGCTTCAGATTTATGCCAGTTTGGAAAAGATGTTGCATAAGGCAAATTTTGCTATTCAGAAACTCAAAAAGAAGAGAAACACCAACACTTCTTCTGTACCAAAACAGCAATGTAAATTTTCTTCTCTTTCAAATTTTGAATTGAAAACTAATGTGTTTTCTTTTGATAAAAGCAAAGCTAAGAAACCCACAAGAAAAACTCATTCTACCAGGTGTTTCAAATACCATAGGATCGGTCTGTTAACAAGTGCCAAAACCAGTAACCATTGTTGACTTTGAAGAATGAGAACATTGAAACCGGGCCAGAAAAGAAAGGTCAATTGCAAATTTCCGATGACTATGCACATGAGACAATGAAAGGTCTTGGAAGCTTTGTGTCAATGCAAAAAGGACCAAAGGAAGAACAAAACTGTGGTCATCAAGCAAACCAAGAAAGATCTTCTTTCATTCAAAAACCGGACCAAACTCAAGCTGAGAAATGTTCTGATTATGATTTCTTTGTTTATAACCGTTTTTCTTTTAATGTTTCAGATTTGAGGACAAATCCTTTTTAAGAGAGAGGGAATGATGTGCCGCAGCCCATAGACCTGGGACAGGGTGGTGCACAACTTGATCCAACCGAGGTTTCCTATCGGATGACGCAACCATGGTCAAGCTGAATCGAGGTGACACTTACTTAGGCGAGCTTTTGGAGCTGAATAAGCTAAGTGGCACTAAAGATGGAGATGGTTTAGTTTCTTGGCGAAATGGGCATTTTTTAGCCCACGGAAAAATTCATAACAAATTCAATTTGGATCGGATTTACACAAAATTTGACCAGGCCTTTGATGATGATCTTCTGCCCATTTGTATCAATAAATATCAACAAAAGGAGTCAAATTCGTGGTCAGTCCAAAGGAAATTCAACAACACACTTATTTCTAGTCAAAAGTCTTAATCTTTGTTTGTGTTTCATAAATTTCTAGTTTTCTACAAATTCTTTAAGTCTTTCTTTGACTACAAGTAGTATAAATATTTAATCACATCCCATGAATAAAATCAGTCTATTTTTTGAGTTTATTTTTGTTTCATCTTTTAGTGTGTGATAGAGAGAGAGAGAGAGAGTTCTTTAGTTAGTTAATTGGTGTGAACCGGCTTGTTGATTTGGTGGTCGGCCAATTCATCTCGTGTGTTGTTTGGTGGTTAGCCAACATATTCATTTCTTCTTTTTTGGTTAGCCTTATACTGTAGTTATATCAAGATCCATTCTGAATCTCTTGACGATCCTTTCAGTCCATTTCAGTTCCAGAAGTGCCAATTGCCTTCTCGGTTCATATCCAACACCCATCTAAAGTGATCCTTCAATCTAGGGTTCTTCAAAGAGTAAACTTAGGATTCTGGAACTTATGTCCTTAGGCTAGGTTCTGGAATAAGTTTTTGTTAGTGTGTTGTGTGAGAGTTTCCGACAGCATGTGCGAAACCTGCCCATGCTAGGCATGTTTAAGGGTGGATTAGTGTTTCATCGATCTCGTACCCAGCGGGTTCAAGGAAACCCCTTATTCTCTGGATCAGAAAGAATCAGAGAGATGGGGTCATGGCCTATGGCTGAGTATTACATGACGGTGTAATGTGGCAGTGACCCGATGGACTATGGGCTGTCGCACGGTGACACGATGGATTGTGGGCCACAGTCGGTCGAAAGTTCCTTCGTCTGGCCTCTGTGGTAGGGAGATAGGAAATTTGCGATAGAGAGGATGAACACGAAGTCACCAGGGCCATGTTAGAGTGTCGAGTTATAATGTTGTGTCAAGTTAAGGGTTATGGAACCCTAGGGTAAGTGTAACACTGAAATACGATGTTACGAGTTAGATCGCGTCGTAATTAGTTATTATCTTATTATTGTGATATTGGTGATTGATTTGCTTGCAGGTTTCTAACACTGAGATCTAATTCCGGGTTTTGTACCAGATTAGGCTTGGTGTCTCTTTGGTTAGTGTAGACCCGAAGTTGGCTGTTATATTGTTTGAGCGATTGCTTGTGAAGGGTGGTGGAAATTGAAAGCCATGCGGTATCATTGAGTGGCCGATCATGTTCTTGTCTCATTGTTGGTCAACCGGTTGATGATTCTTGTATAATCTAAGTGTCTAACACCAAATGAGTACTAAACTCATACGTATATCTGGTTAACTAGGGTTTGATTGTGTAGCCTTAGCTTTGATTGCATAGGCTAGATTAATTGTTGTTTTGAGTTGTATGGGTTAGTTAGTAGGTTTCGAGTCGAGGCCGCCAATTCACTGAGTGACAATAGGTTACTCATCCAACTATGTTGTCCTTTTTTTAGGTATCACTAGATATGGATGATCGGGATAGCTTGGAGCTGGACGTTAGGACCACCGGAGTAGATTTTCATGCCTTTTGTATACGGTATTTTGATTTTTGTATAGCTGACTCGATTTGGCGTTAGACCAGGACCGGTCTTGAATGATTTCGTTATATGGATATTTTTTAAATCAATAAAGTATTTGTTTGATATGCGCATCATGAGTACTCTGATATTTGAGTATTCTGGTCTAACACAATGGTAGGTCGTTGTACGGGTTGAAAAGGCTTAGACCTCGGTCTAACGGAAACTGTTGCGTAGTAAATTATGTGACTTCGGCCAGATTATCTTTAACTCGTCACGTAGCGCTTTCAGACCATGGTATTGGGTTGGACGATCAGACATTTTTTTGTTTGATTGTTGGATGGTCGGCTGGCCTTTCATATCCAACCCTTGGTGTGAGTCGTTCCATCGTTCATGTTCTTGTTTGATTGTTGGCCAATGGTTCGACCTATGTTTAGGATGGTTTGGGGGTGTTACAGCCGGTCACCGGAGAAACTGCATGCAAAAGTTGGGAGGTGGCTGGAAAAGTTTAGAAAAAATTCATAACCAATATATCTGAAACAAGTTTGAATCTTTATACCCAAAATAATTATATTATCCGATTCAGTCTGATTTTTTATATACAATTAATTGTTTAGTGACATATCTAGAATATATAATATTAATTATGAAAAAAAAATATCAGCATATAAAAATATAAGAACCAACATCTACATAGACGCACAGATCAAACTTTTAGTTATACTAGATATTCTAACCGCGCTACGCGCAGTTTGTGTTTTAATTTTGTTAACGTTTCTATTTTGTTACAGTGTAAGTGGATTAGTTGATTGTAGTTATTTTATCTCTTTGTGTTATATAATTTCAATTATTTTGATCTTTGTCAGTAAATTTGTCGTATATTTGGTTGAGTTTTTATTCTATACTAAAAATATCTTCAATGTAAAATTTAATTTTCTGATTTTAAAATGAAGTAATCTTATAAGAATGTTAATTGTTGTCAAAAAAAAAAAAGAATGTTAATTTTCTTCAAAAAAATAAATATGAAGGATTGAAAAAAAATAAAATGATTATAAGTAAACCCATGTTTATTTGATTATGAAGTGAAAAATAAAATGAGATTAGAATACCTCTTACTCTAAACTCTATTTTATAGTAATTATATTATATGGAGTGCAGGTGCAAATGCTCTAACACACTAAATGTAAACATGCTGATTGAATACATTACAATTTTCTAAAAATATCAGTTACATTTATAAAGGATTGAACGAAAAATAAAATGATGATAAAGTAAACCAATGTTTATTTGATTATGGAGTGAAAAATAAAGTGAATTTAGAATACCTCTTACTCTAAACTCTATTTTATAGTAATTATTATTATGGAGTGCAGGTGCAAATGCTCCTAACACACTAAATGTAAACATGCTGACTAAATACATTACAATTTTCTAAAAATATCAGTTACATTCATTAAAAAATTATTAACAATTAGGTCATACAAATATTATTAGAAATATTTATTTCTATATATTTTCTAACTTAATTTTTAACTTTTACTATTGCCGTTTACAACAATAAAGGAAGAAAAAAAACACTTAGTCTTTGTTTGGGCTTCATTAGCATCTTTTTCTTTTGCCATTTCTTATCCTCGTGGCAAAGTATATGATGACACTTCAAAGCTAATTCTAACCTCGCTGAATATATTTTCTGCTGTTTCTATTTAGATTAGAAACACACATGAATTGCAGCTAGACTACAATATTTTAATTTTTGGCTCTATTTAGAGCTTCGTCTACGTATGGAACCTGTAAAAACACAAACCACCATCTCTGATCATATTAGTTTCTGAAATTAGTCATGAAAATACAAAAAATTGATTGATTCAATTTCTTTCACAAAGATCACATAATTATACATAGACAGTTTGGAAAAAGAGAGAGACTTCTACTTCTTTAAACTAAGAGATGTCGTGGTTCTCTGTCAAAATCCAGACACATAACAGTTACCCGGTCGAAGACACATAACACTAACCCGCGCAAAGTAGAGACGTGTTTGGGGCTGCAGTGTTTAGCAAATCACACGTCAGTATGAGATCAGAGAAATGGATTCAATTATTGTTCAAAATAGTAAAGTAAGAAAAATAACCTGGTTATAGTAAAGTCACGCTCTATCTCCAAATCATGTGCTGTCGAAGTAGCTCAAGGCCTAGTTGCAGCCAAAGCTTCACTGCAGACACCTAACTGATGCCTTTGGAAAAGTCTCTCAGGTTGGTTCACAAAGATGCATGTCACACGGATAAGCCTTGTTTCGTCCAAATATGTGAGCTACAAATAAAATGTACCAAGAGACTACTAATAACATACAGTGTTACCGATAAAAGCTGGTGCACCTGGTGGCTGAAGACAGAACTGATATGCATCATGCCATTCACTTTTTCACACAATAATGATAGTGAGATTTAAGTCTTAACATTGCCATATAAATAGTCAAAGATCAAACATACACACCTGCTACTGTGCAAGCCAAGCAATAATATCAATATCAGTATCTGTAATGACTGCTGCTGCGAGCAAGGACCACCTGGTTTCACAAACAGAAAACAATTAGTTAAAACAGGAACCTCAATGTGTAAGAACAGATACAGACATGAAGTCACTAAACTACCTTGCTAGGAGAAGAACTCTTCTGCTTTATAATCTCCAAAACCTTCTCTACAGCAGGGTAATAGGCCCTTTTGTAGGAACATGATTCTTGCTAAGCACATGAATTGATATATGTGATAACAATAAGATTTGAAGCAACCGCCTGTCACTAAATAAGAAAAATATAGATAAACACAAAAAAGTATTGAAATAAAACTTTATTTACAATGAAAACTAAGCTAGGAATTACATAGTTCATGCTTATGGAGCTCTGTTAGAAACATATTAGTGCAATAACAGATAAGATGACTTATGTTAATTATTTATCCAGTCCTCAGATCTTTCTGCTCAAATAGTCAAATATGGATCCAAGCTTTCTGCAGGACAAATACAAAAAGACCAGAAGATGAATAAGACAACGCATTGATAACTTGAAACCGGGCAAATTAATTGTTCTGGGTCTTACCATTTGAAGAAACCTGGAACTCAAGTTATGGAGCTGTCGCCAAACCACTGGAATACAAAGCGAATAATAAGAAACCATTTGAGTCAATAAAAACCAAGTAGAGTAAAAAAAAAAGAATAATAAGAAGAAAGAACATACCATTAACAATTTGTTTTGACGTTGTAACTCTCTACAAAGTGACTCAAGCTTGTCACGGACAGTAACAGCTACAATAGAAAAAAAAAACAAATGAGTAGCTGGCTCTGAAAAGCATAGAACAATGGAAAAGTGACAAAATCTACTGGTTTCCTATGTAATGTACCAGAATCTCTTTCAGAAAGGACTTGTTGATACTTGAGCATGAATTCAAGAAACTCCTTTTCTGATTTGAACACGTTCTTTGAACTCTTAAGCTTACTACTCTCAACTGCCTCCTGCTTTCATCAATATCAGCAACCACATGTCATCAGAAACATCATCAAACACAGCATAAACGATTCTGCCTGGGCTGCTTATGAAAAAAAAAATACTAACTTGTTTTCTGGGTTTGACCGAATCCACACTCTGAGTTGAGTCCTTGCACAAGTTTGGATTTTGAGTAGACCCTTCTGATACTAACACAAAAAAACAAAGACCCAACATTGGGTTACAAAGAAGTAAATGCAAATTAAAAATCTATTCTTTCATGTCTCACATGTTGGAGGAGGAGGGGATGATTCTTTCTGCTCTAAGCTAAGCTTGCTCGAGGCTTTGATTACGTCATCAACAACCTCCTCGTCCTTACAATCAGTTTCTTCAGAGAGCGGAACAGGGAAAGTCCTGGGCTTCTCTGCTTTCTCAATCGGGACATCAACATCATCACGATTTTGTTCGTCAGCAGCTCCGTCGACGAATCCATCGGGTAGGGAATCAACTTCAGGGAGCAAATTCGAATGAGGTGACTCCATTTGGATCTGGGGAACCCCCAACTTTTAACGAATCAGCGAGCGAGATTGAGAAACCCCCCCCCCCCCCAAATTTTTTTTACTCAAAGCTGTCGTTAATGGCTCACCATGGATGTTGATGTTGTTTTGAGATCTCTCCGAAGCTTCATGAAAGTTGTAAAATCTCTGAGAGGATCCAAGCCGAGATCAGCGAAACGACCATTGGTGAACCCATGCCCTTATTCTGGGTCGAAATCTACTAAAGAACTCAGAAAGATGCTAGCTTACGGCGTAACAAAGCGATTAGAGGGGGAGAAGCCATTAAAGGGGGATTCATCACAAACAGATGGAGTGGTGTCGATGATCGATCTCAGTTGAGAAATCGAATCGACGAAGAGGAACATAGAAGAATGTAAGAAATCGATCTCCCAGCGTTGGTGAATTAGGTTACCTCGTGTCGCGTAAAGTTTGGATCCAATGGGCCAAAAACCAAAACAATGAGACAAAAGAACTCAAAATTTAAGCCCAATACAAATTTTATTATTTTTTATGACATGACACCATGAGGATTGAGGATATTCCCCTTTTAATATAGTAGTGATATTAAACCTCGCAACGTTCATCTTGTTAAAATAATATAAAATTAAATGACTATATACGTGAAGCGTTAATGCAAAAATGAAGTGTGGTTTACACATAATATTGATCAGCCGGTCTATAAACGTATTGTATGAGTTTTCATAGTATAATAGTGGTATACTATGAACCATTATCCATTTTAACTTCACGTCTTGTTCATAATAAAACTCCATAAACATTGTAAAAATCTCTTATATATTCTGTACTAGGGACGGCCTGGCGCTACGCGCCGGATTGGAAGTGCGGTTTGTAAATTTCATTTTTGACTTCTAATTTATGAAGAGGATAATATTGAATAATGGGTTTGAGTACAACATCGGACAGGTGAAGTGATAATCATTCATATTTCATTGTTTTGAATTGAATTATTTTTTTTGTCGGAGATATGAGTGAATTTATTATTAGGTTGAATATCAAAGAATCACGCTCAAAACAAACTATAGAATGGGTATGACATTATACTGAGAATTTACAAATGTTCTGCACCGGCTGTATATTTCAATATATTCTGTTTTTATTCATAATAATAACGATATGTGGACGGAACTATAAAGCTGTTCACTATATTTGAATATGTGCAGCCAAAACAGACAATGTTTGAAATTAACTTGATATCAATTGGTTTGGAAAAAATCGGGTGTCTTCTCCGCAAATCATGTATGTTATTAAAATACACTGCTACGATGGAATGAAGAATGTCAAGCTAGTGAAAACGTGAAAGTAAAGAAAACATAACCAAAGCAAAGTACACAGAAGCTGACAGTTTTGCGTGTTTCAAAACGAAATATGCTATGTCTTGGTTGTGAATCGCTGGTGTAGAAAGAAGCATTTTTTTTTTATTTGGTCACTGCAAGCAATGGTTGTGTTCAGTGTGTATAGTGATTGGGATCATGAATAAATCAAATCTTTAGTGCTAACCTGACTTATTCTGAGGTCTCTGAATATCTCTTTGTAGACAATATTGGTCATACCATCTTCTCTATCCAACTCTGATGTCTCGTCTAGAATTTTCAAACCACGTGGACTGGTTACTCTTGACATGGCTACGTACAACTGGCCGTGTGTGAAGACAGGGCGCAGGAGATATAATGCTACTTGATTAAAGCTCTGATCTTGACTCTTATTTACCGTCATCACGTAACACAGTCGTACTGGGTACTGACGTCTACAAAACGTGAAAGGAAACATGGTGTCAGTTGGTGTGAGCTGCATCCTAGGGAGCAATACATATTCCCCAACCTCTGAACCAGTCATAATCTCAGTCTCCAGAATTCTTTCCCCAAGTCGAGTGACCATCATTCTAGGATCGGTTCGCCCATAAGGGATACACTTTACTTGTGATCTATAATCTTATTTTTTGTAAGATTTTGTAGTTTGTGTATTAGATTTGTATTTGCAAGAGATGTGTATAATAATGAATTTTTTTTTTTAAGTTTTAGATAAAGAGATATTATATGTAGTAAAGTATTTTTTTTGCTTGTATACAATAGTTGTTTCTATATTAAAGAATTATGATAGTGATATGTTGCGAGGATTTCAAATGATCTCGATGTTGCTTCTTTTAAAAAAAATTTAATCACATATTCGATGTCAAAATGATTTGTTTTTTTCTTCCTAATATTAATTCTTGTATAAATTAAATTAAATAATTTCATATAAAACCTGAGATGCTGATTTTTTGTAATCATTGATCTAAATTGAACTATTTTGGGATATTTTAAATTCTCTATTTTATAACTGAAATAAAAAACCACGAAAAACACACTGATTAAACATTTAATCTTTTGTTTAATCCTGAAAATTAATTCTTCATGGAACTTCTATAGAGCAGAGCCCATATCGTTATATCTCTCTTGGAAATTATTTGCATTGTGGCTTTTTTCCCATTTGTAAGCATAAGGATCAACACGTTGGACTCTCAATTCTTCTACCTAATGAACTAAATCAAAATCGTTCATCACAAATGGAGAAGACAACCTACAAACAATATCTTGATACAAATGAGACTATTCAGATCATAAACATGAAGAATAGCTTTCAAGTTGATTCATCTCAGCCAGGGGTGGATCTAAAAAGTGTTTTAGTTGGAGGCAGAAGATAAAAATTTGATTTACCTTTTAAATTTACCTTTAAAAGAGAACATGTTATTACTAACCTGAAAAGTAAAATAAAAACTAATAGTGGTCACCAAAGGATGGAAAAAAAAAAATTTCTTGTCCAAAAACTAATATGCGTGTGTATTTTGCTTTACTTTTTTTTCTACTCATATAGATTAATATACAATTTAAAATATATATAAATCATAGAAATAAGAGTGGTGAAATGCCAGTTTTTCTTAGAGTCAATGTCTTCTATTTTGTATTTGTTTTTTCTCTCTCTGTGACTACTGCTACCACGGAAGATGGGGTCAAAATCACTTGGTCTTTGGGTAAAGAAGACACGGACACAGACGCTGAAACGATCTGGCTGAGGGATGGAAGGATCGTTCCATGTACAACTCGGTGTCTGAAAAGAGCGACTGTGGAAGAAGGTAGAGTTCTTTTGTCTTGTGGAGCCAGAGAAGTCAGCGTCAAGCTCTGCCGTAGGGACAGTGATAGGGGAAGGCGTGTGGTAACCACCGCTGGCTCCTGGTCTGTTATTGAGTGTTTTGCAGATGAGAGAGAGCCATTTCTGAGCTGGTCTGTTGTCTTCAGCTCCAAGGACGTTACCAGCATTAAGAGGGACAACCTCTTGGAACCTGAAACTCAACCAATAAGGAGAAATAAACAAAGAGTGTAGAAAAGACTAAAACGAACTCTCCAAAAAAATGATGATGACTCTTGAAACATACCCGAGAACATATATATATATATATATATATATCTGCAGGAGCCACTCATCAAGGTTTAAGTCAGGAGGTGGAGAGCGTCCAGCTACGTTTCAGGTAGCAGTAAAGATTCTGCTCACAGTAAGTCAACACATGGATTTTTAAGTAGCAATGGATTATAGTTATTATGACATGTGTGATGTCTTAGTAAGTTACCTGTAGTTTTGGACATCAATGAAATAGATGTGAGTTCCAGAAGTTGCATTGAGGAATACACGGCCTACACAGTGCAAAACATTCTTTATTATTCAATCATACTATTATCTAACGCAAAGGTAACCAAACAACATGAAGATACTACAATAGTTGAACACGACATGAGGCTGTAAAAAACATATCCTAATATGTAATCAATCCAGAACTATAATCACATCTAAGAGTAGATGATATCCTAAACAGATTCGAATTTAAATTTATGTAAACTCCCCCAAATACCTTCAACCATTTTGGGATTGATGCTGGTAGCAACAATGACTTTTGGATTCATACGCATATTGTCTAGCCTGTGGTGGAAAGCAACAGCTTCGGCATCAAAGAGACTCAAAGTGACAGAGACTCACTGAAAGAGGTGTAAAAAAATACAGGGAAAAAATCAACATTTATAAGATAAAAGGTTGAAAATTAGCTATTGTTTTTATGCAAATCTAGCTCAAAGATTATATAATTAATCAACACGAAATTATAAGGTTTACCTTTCCATTTTGATGGTCGCCATGACACGATTTTTCTCCTCAGGAGGATCAGTCACAGTGCTCTTCACGAAAATTAACTCACCAATGATGTCTGTGCAAAGAAGACGGTTAATACAGTGGCTGGACATGAGAGCAGTCAAGAAAAGTTCTTTTACCTGGGAGCTAAGTACTCGTGTTAGCTAACCCTGTCAGCTCGGTATGATCACGAAACCTGTATCCCTCTGTTGGTCAAGGAGAAACCGGTTCGGTAATCTCATCAAAACCGGTAAACTTGACGAACCGGATCATCAAAACAGAATCAGTTAACCGGAAATTCGCAGCACATCGACTGACGTCAAAGCCGGAGATGGATTACATGCTACCGGCGGCGAGTTTTGGTCGGAAAGCTCCCACACAGAGAGATGGGTTTCCAGGAGAGACAATGGCCGCCGCTCATGGAACCCTATTTCGCAGAGGAGGACAGATACGTGAGAGGCTACATTCAATTGGGCTTCAACTAAACAGAGTTTGGGCCAAAAAATTAAAAGACTCAATTAGCCACGTGGCAGAACACAGGGAAAGGATTATCTGACGTGGCTTAAGCAGGAGGGAATGAACTTTACTTTATAGTAATAGATGTTGTTTTTTTTTTTGTCAATGAAAACCCAAGCACCTGTATGTTGTTAATCTACAATATGTTTACAAAATGTAAATAAATATGATGAGGATCCACAACAAACTGATTTTCATTTTATTTAAGTTACATGATATATGAAAACATAATAATCCTATACGGCAGAATCCACGCAGAATGAGAAAGATTCTATGTGTACACTTTATTTGACAAAAACATTAAAATATATATAAACTAGGGTCGGCCCGCCCTACGGACGGGTTATACTATATTTGTAATCTTGGTTACTATATTTTTGTATTGTAGTTTGCGTTTTAGGTTTGTATTTGCAAGAGATATGTATGATAATGACTTTTATCCTTTGTAAAGTTTTAGGTATAGAGGAATCATGTGGTAGATATATTTTGTTTGTTTAAATATATTTTATATTAAAAAATTATGGCATTTAATATGTTGTTTTAGATTCGAAAAATATATTTAATATTATTTTTATTAATAATATTATTCTTATATTTATAAAAATATAAGTAATTGAAAATTAATATGTACTCTCTTTGAGATTCTTGCTAGCCGTAAACTTAGCATAATGTTAAAAAAAATGACAACTTTGGTGAAGAGTT